TGGGCAGATTCCAGACAGGTATTATAATGGTGTTCCATGTCCTTTGTTCTGTAGGCTTTGACAGATGCTATTTCAGCTCTAATACTCAATATGCAGACAGGATTCCGCCGCTCCTTTTCTTGGCGATTTTAGGGTTTTCCGTAATTTACTTCATGCCACGCACCCACTTTTCTTCATGGTGTTTTTCTCTAGACTGAAGGCCAGTTGCTAATCTTTGCTCCCAGCAGCTGCTTCTAAAGCTGCTTCAGACCTGCCTGAGCTTTAATCTCTTTGCATGCCGCGAAAGCTAAAATCGTTAACGGTGTCTTGGCTGTTTTAATGGGAGCTGCAGGCTATGCTGCCATGTGCCAAATGATAAGCTTTTTCCTTCTCAAATTCAAAATCAGTTTCTCCAAAGAAAAGGAATAAAATCTTTACACCATCCTAAGCCTCAAATGGGGATCAATAAGGATGGGCAAACTGGAATTGGATACTGTGCTCTTGGATCAGTTAAGGTTCTATGCCATTCACAGGTTTCGAGATTCTGAAGCAGATATTAGCTGATGAGCAGGTGTATAGCCACCTGCCCTTGGCTGACATCTGGGAGTGGCAGGTGGGCGTGGCCTGCAGGCAGACGGGGAGCCAGCGTCTGAAGGCCATTCACCTGCTACTGCGGATGCTGCACTGCCCCTCCCAGCGGTGAGGCACCTCCGTGTAACTCCTGCATCTTACTTCACGAAATGCTCTGCTGTCACGTGCAGGGGGTCTTAACTGGGTCTCTGATGGGGCGTCTGTACCACCGGATGGTCTTAAGAGTCATAACTATAATCAGATTATTTTTTTCCCATTTATATGTAAATTCACATCGATCTGTGGAAATTTTGAAAACCCATTTCTAGAGTAGGAGCTTTTGCTGTCGGCTGTATTCAGCCAGACGGACCCACTACATTATATTTACATTTAAGTTGTTTAGCAGAAGCTTTTATCCAAAGCGACATACAGTTTTGAGAACGCTGGGTTAAATAGTCCCAGGAGAACAACCGGAATTAAGGGCCTCAAACCCACTAGGTCCGGTTCTCATAAAAGATGAATCCAGAAGCTGAGTTGGTATTAACTAGGCCTCTCATTCTGTGCTCTGTTCCTATTTGGCCGCTGTGAATTGGAAAGGAGCAGACTGTCGGTATGCAAGATGGCCGCCCCCCCATAGTATTTTTGTGAAGGATGGATCTGACACACTAACCCTTTGCGTTCATGGCACTTGAGGAGAGCTTTTGCCTCTGGGGCCCAGCAGCCTGCTGGTTGTTGAATTCGACTGTGAGCCCAGAGTCTGACTGACTGCGACCTGTACCATGTTCTTGCCAGGGGCCTCGAGCTGACCCTCCTCCGACCCCTGTGGCGCCTGTTCTGCACCATGGAGACTGGCCTGGGCCAGGACCTTACCAATGTCACCATGCTGCTGCCGCTGCACCGAGCCCTCACAGAGCTCTTCTTCGTGGCTGAGGCCCGGGCCATGGTGAGTAGGACACGGTGGGGGTGGAGGGGACAGCCTCAGTGCTCCGTAGACTGCAGGATGCTGCTTCCCTGAGCCCCATTCAGGTCTTAGAAGAGCAGCGATAGGGAGTCCATGTGCCACTTTGCCATGTTGTTCCTGCGAGAGAAATTCTGGTTCAGATAATTAGCTCTTGCTGTGTTTTCCAGCCTCAAACAAGGTTTGTTTTTAAAAAGGTTGTTAAGCATCATCAGCAGGGGCCTGATCACTGCAAATTACTTCATAGTGTTCATCTGTTATGGCTAACAGCAGAGCTGCTTGGGAGAGCCCTTTCTATGTAAAACATGAACAGCTGTAAAGTGGTAAACATCTACCACCTTCTTACCCTCCCCCTTTTTAAATGAGTCCCCCCCTCCTCCACCTCACAGAGGTCAGCACTAAACTAAGATTTGTTCCTCTCTGGTCCCTCATCCTTGGGGATCTCCAGATGATTCTTATCCAGCCGGGAGATTGAATTCCTCCAGTATGTCCCAGGACATCATCGGGACCTCTTTGCAGTGCCATTAGTTCTCTTGGGTGCCAACCAGTTGGCATCCTTCACTAAGGACAGACTCATCTCCCCCTCTATAAAGGAGCAGTCCTCTCTCTTTCTGGGAGAGCACAATGGCCTTGATTTCAGGGATTATGGCTTGTATCCCTGTCGTTTCACATTCATCGATCCAGTGGCCACAGGTCCTGGTCAAATGAATCCAAGAGAACATCATCTGCAATTAGCAGGAATGTCACGTTTGGCCCTCCATACCAGATGTCCTTCCAGTTACTGCAGCACCTTGATATCCTGTCCTTGAAGATGACAAACAGGATTGGAGACTAGACCGTCCGTTGGCGAGGCCAGCACCCTTTGTAAACAACAACTTGTGCCAAGTATGTAGATACAACTCTTACTGCATTCTTACCAGAATAGCACACAATAGCAGCCCGGTAGCTTGTATTCCTGCAGCCCCTACTGCAGAATGTGGCAGGGAACGTGACCATATGCCTACTGTGTTGGCACATTCCCACGAACCCCCACACAGCTGTGCAAGAAAGTTGATTCCACCACCAGACTGGAATCTTTAATTCTTGGTTCAACAGGTGAAGTCTCTCCCAATGATAACCCCCCTATAGCTGCAGCTCACAGTCTGGTCCCCTTTTTTAAAAGTAGGGACCACCACCCCTGTTTGTGAATCCAGAAGAGCTCTACCCGCCTCCCATACAACACATCCAGTGCTGATTTTTTTGCCACTGCAGCCTTTCCACCATGAAGACCTCTGACCACCATAGTGACTCAGCTGCAGTGATAGACTCAGACTCTGATTCACCAGGAGCTTCCAACAAAGGCCATATCCACTGGGTTAAAGAATTCCTCAACGTGTTCTTTCCCCTACTTGACAATATTCCTAGAGTTCTTTGCAGTTCCGTACTTGTGCTACACAATGTACACATTTCCTGAGCAGTGGTCCAACTTCCCCTTCTTGAGACATTCAACAGTTGGCCGAAACATCTTTGGGGCTGCCAGATAATCACTTCCCATAGCCTCTTTAGACTCCTCCCATGTCAGGGCTTTTGCCTCTGACTGCCTTTTCTGCAGCTTGTCTGGCCTGCTATCTAACCGCCAAATCAGGAGACCCCCTTGAAAGCACACTGCCCTGAAGGCCTCTGCTTTTGGGTGTGTAAGTTACTGCCATCACAGAGACTGACTGATTTCAGGCTGTACCTCATTGCAGCCACTTCAGTACACCAGTTTTCAGAAGTGATAAGTTGAATTCAGCTTTAGCCATACATTCCTAGCAGACCCTGGGTCTTCCTGGCCATCTGGCCTCCTTCACCACTTTTCACCACTCTTCTCACTTTGGGCACCAAGTAGAAATGACACAACTACAAAGTTGTCAGTGTTTGACATTTAGCCTAGGATGCTGTAGTGCACAGTGAACTTGTGAGTGTCCTGGTGTTTGAACATTATGTTCATTATGGACATTCCATGGCTTTTACAGAAGTCCAGTAACAACTCCGCATCAATCCAATTTGTCCCAGAGGCTGTGACTCAATCACACCCCTCCAGGTATCTGCATTGAAGTCTTCCAATAGGATCATGTAAGATTTTTCCATTTGAGTTCCTCACCTATTTTTCCCAAAAAGGGTTCCTCAAGCTGCAGTTTGGTGCATAAACACAAACAGTCGGATTTTTCCTCTCTGCAAACTCTGCCGCATAGAAGCCACCCTCTCATTCACTGGGGGACAGACTCCAGCTACGCATCAGTCAGCCTGGGACTTATGAGTATTCCCTTATCTTTCGTCATGGGGGAACTCCTGAGCAGGAGAGATTCATCCCCAGTTCTGAGCTCTGCTTCCCTGCTTGCCCCTGAAATGGCACCATATCTGACCCTGGTGGACCCACAAGATGAAAAATGAACAGATGCTATTGAATGATTTTTTTTTTTCTTCCATCTTCTGCCCAAATGTCCATTTTCTCTGAACTTTAGACTGCAGTATTTCACATGTCTTTTTGTCTCATTGCAAAGTCTGCAGCCAGATGTGCATTTGAAGGGCCTCTGCATGGTGCAGGGCTGTGTTTACATTTTCAGAATGCAGCCTTGCTAGCGTCAGTGACGTTCTTACACTGACTGCGGTTGGATCCCAGCCTGCTTATCTCGCCCCACCTGTTCTTTTTGTTCCTTGGGTCTTGGAGCTGCCCATCTGTGCGTAGGTTCATCAGTATTTCAGGATGCAAGCAACAGGCCACACTCCCCCACAGGGTGCTCCTTCTTAATGAATGAAGAGGGGAAGGCTTGTGTGGTGTGTGTGTGCTCATGCAAGAGGGGCTGAAGTAGTTTCCATCCGCTTCGGTCCTGCTGATTTCCATGACAACGCCCACTCCCCACGCTACGTGTTCGATTCTTCTATTATCTGCTGAGTCACTGCAGAAACTGATTTTCAGCTCAGGTTCAGTGAATCTGACAGATGTGTGGGTTCTGTTAGTTTGGGAGGTGTGAATATGGCTCCACAGTGAGCAGCAGGGGGCAGTATGCATCCTCCGCTGGGTGACGACTGCTGATGTCGAGGAAGGAACTGGCTCCACGCCTGCATAAATTTTTTATTTTTTATTTTTCCTTTTGAAACACTGAGGATAGGCATGTCTACAGTCAGAGGCATCTTAGATGCCAGTATGATTCAGCAGGATCAATGGGTGATGGGGGCTAGTGCATCGGAAGTGCGTACAACACCTCTGAGTCCTTACTGATTATACAGTGCTGTCATTGTTAAAGTTTTTATTGAGCTGCATTTCAGAGATCCCCATCCATCTTGTGAATTAGTCTATGACCGGTTGCCTCAAAACCATATGAATGTGCTCTGGGGTATTTGTGCCTATCGGACAGTAGTGCCGCACTGCCCCTTCCCCCATACACCGCTTGATGGAGCTTGTTGGTGAAAATACAACCCCGTAGTGGAAACTCGAACTCGCTGGCAAATCAGCTTAGTTTCATTTATTCACTTTTGTCAGCCTTGTATTCGTGATGCTGTGACCTGGTCTTATTTGATTTCGGTTTATGCTGAGGAGTTGCATCTCTCTTTACTGTCTTGTGGCAGTGTGCCGAGCCAGATGCCGCTCCGCACCGTCTAGGGGGTCTGGTGCGTTCGGGCGGCTGCACGGCACGTGTCCATCGGCAGCCATTTTGAGTTTTTTTTTTTTTTTTTTTTTTTTTTTCTCTCAACTCTCTGTGCAGCAGACTTTCCCAGTGATAGTTCAGCACCGGATGTGGTTTCTCACTTCTAGTGTGAATTTCAGAGCAGTCAGCTTGACTGTTACTCTTTGAACTGCCTGCAGGACTATGTCATGTGTAATGATGGCTGTTTTTTTATTGTAAATTGACTGAAAACAAAACTGGAGGTGGAGCCATTTTGAAACAGCGAATCACTGAGTTGTACTTGTTCCTGCCCTGCCCTGGGAAAACCCATGATTGGCCGTTCATTTTTAAATTATTTTTTTTTACGATACTGTCTATACAATTTTTTGACAGTATTGAAAAAGGTATACTTCAGTATCTAATGCATCTGTATAACTTCCCTTGTTAGTTTACTTTGGCTTCACACTTGTTGAATGAACACAGCAGCTCGGCTAGGCGTTAGCTGCACCCTGTTAGCCATGTCATCCCAGTGTTTAATCCCCGTAGGCTAATTTCACGCTGTCGCTGTGCTTCTCTCTCCCACTGGCTTCTCTGTGCCCAGTCCCACTTCCAGAATGTTCCCAGTCACTCTGCTTGTCCTATTTCTTTGCCCCTCTGTGCTCTGTCTCGTTCCCCTGCTGTCACTGGGACTCAGCTGTCCCAGACAAATTCGTCTCTGCTCCTTTGCTGTCAGTAAATGTTCAAAAAGCAAGTCTGATTTATTCGTTCTGCCTTGCAGGAGCAGGGGGTCCTCCAGGAGTACCTACTGGCCTTGACAACCAGCGAGCAGCTCCTGAATCACACGGCACAGGTGAGGGTCCCGTGCAGAGCGGCAGCGAGCAGCAGAGCATGCTGGGAACTGCTGTTTTCCCCCCGAGCTGAGCTGGTGGGACGCACGTGTAGATCCGAGCCCAAGGAGCTCGTCCTACTATTTGATTACTTTGTGATGATATCGTGACTCCGCTGGTTTTGTCTCCATTTTCCCCACCGCGAGACACACTGCAGCCTGAGTTTGAAACAATTTGAATTTAATTTCCATTCTTTTTTATTGTAGCTGCAGTTCTTCAGCAAGGAAGCTTATCTTCTTGGGGGGAAAAAAAAAATCGGGATTAAAGGCTCAAAACGAACATTTTCCCGATGAATCTCTGTGTGTTTGTTTAAATGGAGATGAGGGTTTGTTTTTGACCCGGCCTGCTGCAGTACCTTCTCCAAGGTCCCAGCACAGAGGAGAGTGAGGGGGTTCTGGTGATACGTGGGCATGATGTTTAACAAAGTGCTCAGTTACTCTCATGTGGTTGATGCGCTTTGCTTGAGCAGAGATGGAAGCTTCTGGAAGCTTTGTGCTTGCAGCTACAGTACAGATCCGTGGTGATGTGAATGAGTCTCTTCCTCTGCGATGAATCACGCTGCACTCTGACAAGCCGGGCTCCCTGTAACCCCCCCCATGATATTTTTTTCCATGTGTGGGCCGCATTTGGGACTAATGCGCCTGTAATTCTATCTCATCACCATACATGGTGGAGGCGTGGGCGGAGGGGTTCGAGTCCTATATCCAACCGCACTGCGCTAAGAGGATGCCTGGGGAGAGGCGGGGCCTGTGCTGGTAGCCCCGCCCCCTCATTTTCTGTCCCTCTGTCTCTCTCTCCCATCAGGCTTTGAAGAATGTCGCTGCTATTAGTCTGGCCATCAACTACTCGAATAAATCAACCAAGCTGCTGGACGTGTCCCCGTGAGTCTGAGAGAGGGTGTCCTCGTCTGAAAAAGAGGCTGGGATTCAGGAAACAGTGGGGATCAGAATGGCAGCATCGACTCCTGAATGTCTTCCAGTGACTGCAGTCTCATGAGAATGAGGAGGCTATTCCTTGGGGGGCAGGCTGAGGACGCACTGCCGTTCACGGCGGGTTTGGGGGGGGGGGACGCCGGCTGGCCTGCTAATACTTCAGTTTGCCTTCAGTACATGGGAATGCAGTAACGGCCCACTTTTACGCCACTTTGAAGTATAAAAAAATAGATGCACGGGGCTGGATAATCGATCATCGCAGAAGGAGGTCACCTTGCCTCCCCCCTCGCAGAGAACACAGCAGCCCAGCCTAAAAATACAACAGCCCACGGTGGGGGGGGCATTATTCACAGGCGCAAGTGTCCTGGTCTTCAGCTGAGACGTAATAGCATCCTATTCGAATGACCCTTCCAAAAATGCATGACTGTTAACCCAATGATGCGGCTACTGCCCCCAATCTCCCCCTCCCAAAAAAAAGGATTCTGCACAGAAAAGCAGAAAAGGAGCAATAATGCAATCGTTGATGGGATGTTCTTTCATTTTCTGTCTGGTTAGGGGTAGGGGTTTGGTTCCGGTTCTTCGGCCAGGCACTTCAGTCTCTGCTCCGAGGCCCAGGTGCAGCTCACGGGGCGGCTTGTCCGCCAGCCTTAACTGCCAGGCAGCATGATGCTGACAGGCAGCATGATGCCGACAGGCAGCACTCTTACATTCCCACCGGGCGACGCGCTGGGTGTTGGTCCCTGCTGGCGCGTGAGGCTCTACCTGAGCCTTCCTCAGCATGGGGTCCTTCACGACACGAGACGCATCCTTGGAGACCGCAGAGGAACTCGAGAATAATCACAATTTTACACCCCTCCTTCCGAACTGCCAGGCCTCCTTATCCCATATGCACGTCTCTGCCGCTCGTCTAGGCTTTTGGGAGCGTATCCTATTAGTTTTTAAGTTTCCCAGATCTTTATATTTTATTTTGTACATTTACTTTTATGCCCCCCGCTCCCCCCAGCCTGGGCTTCCCATCCTCCTGCAGTGCAGTGGCTACCCCTGGCTTGATCACGTCCCCTAATAATCGTGAGGATTCCTGCAGGGATATGTGGTTCTGCTTTGGTTTTGTAGCATGGCAGAGCGGTGTATACCAAAGAAAAAAAACAAAAGACTGAATACTGTCACAGCATTCAGGGCCGGAAACATGTCACTGACGAGGTCCTCCTTGGAAGACTGGCACCTTAATTTTTGAGGGTGTGTAAACTCAACAGACTCCTGTCTCAGTGGGTCTCAGAAGAGTGCCAATTGGGGCACTGACCGTCCAGCGCTAGCCCCTGACTATGCCACCGATGGAGGCCCTGCTCTTCCCTGCAGTGTGTTTTATGGGCTGTTAGCGGAGTGACTTGGATGGACCCTGGCCGTCCTCAACATCGCCTGTTTAAAATGTGCCTATGGTTTAGCGAAAAAATATTTAATTTTCATATTGTAAAGGGTTTTTCTTTAATCATATTTTTTAAAAAAAGTATTTAATTTTTGGCTTTTGTATCTTTATTTGTAAGCCGAATTAAATCTGTTTGGGGTTTTGTTTTACTTTGAGTTTGGCTGCGTTTGACTGTATATCTGTGAATAATGTTAAATTCAAATGGAAATAAATGAGGTTTCAAAGAGCAGATGTTTGATTTTCCTGCAGAAGCAGTGCTGACTCTGACTAGTCGCTCGATCCTCCCCGTAAATCTGAACATATCCTACAGCAGAAAGAGACTGTTCCCTTTGACTGGACTTGTGATAAGTTTTGTTTTTTTATTAAGATTGCAATTTTAATGCATAAACCCCTGCATGTGTTTTGTTTGGTTTTTACTTTATGTATGCAACTTAAGTTAAAATAAGTAACCCCAGACTGTGGAGAGACACACACACACACACACACACACACACTGTCTAGTAATACCATCCATCCGTCTCGCTCACCTGCTGGAAAGACAGGCCGCAGGCCAAGGCACACACTGGGCTGGACAGATTAATGCAGTTTTATATTTATTTACATTTATCAGACACTGTTTATATTTGAGAAGCAGGGTCGGCCAGTCTTTGGATGCCTTGCTTAGGAACCCAACAGTGAAATTACTCTGCTGACCCTGGGCTTTGAACCAGTGACCATCCAGTCCCAGGCATAGTGTCCTGCATGACTGATCCATATGCTCAAATATTAAAATCTGTTCGAAAATAAGTAAGCTACTGCAGCATTGTCATAACTGTCACCCAGACAGTAACATTAGGAATGAACCCAGGTGTAGGATGGACCCTTTGGCAGGCGTGTGGTTAAATGTCCCCTCAGTGTGATAAAAACATATATTTTAGGGGCGTTTTTATAATCCCCAATTTTACAAAATTCAGTAAATGCAATCAAAAAAAAGCTGGTTACTCATGGCTAAGGTTAGAGCTGGGTTGGAGTTGTCGTAGTCAGGATTAGGGTTATGCCCATAGAAATAACAGGAGCAAATGAAGTGTGTGTGTGCTCAGTGATCCTAAATCAACTGCTTCGTTAAGGAGTAGGAGTGCCTTCAGTTTCCCCACTAGCCTGTGTTCAGCATAACTTTATGTTCTGCCCCACCAGCAACCACCCTCCCTCCCCAGCTCGGCCCAGTGAGTCCCTACACCCTCGATCACAGCGAAAGCCTCATTTATACAGGTGAGTCCGGACACAAACAGCCGCGACCCACCTGCTGGCCAAATAATATGAACCCAATGCAAATATTTGTTTCTTCCCTGTTAGTGCCGATCCCCTCCCCACCCGGGAATGTAAACCTCTGCAAATGCAGCCTGGCTTTGCATAGCAATTCGTCAGGGGTTTGAAGTTAATCTCAGGCCCATGGTTAATAGGCAGGCCTTGCAGCAGAGTGTGCTGCCACGCCACTGCTAACATGTCCACTTTCTGATCCGTCTATAGTGACTATGGCTGTTAAAGCAGTAATGTACCAACATGGCTGGGGGAAGGAGGGCCGGCGGCCATCACAGCTCTCCTCTGTCATAACCGTGCTCAGACCCTTGGCTCCTGAGCCCTCAAGCCGGCCTGTCAGAGTGGCCACCTCTTATCTGAGTCGTAATATTTCCAAATCTTCATCCTGTACTGCTTGCTCTGCTTTTTTGTATTTTAGCAGGTGGCTGGTATCGGCAGGTGGGTTTGTGCTGTGTGCAGTGACACCATCGGCGAATGACACATCATTCCAACTCTCCATTTAGTAAAGCCTGTCCCCCTCCATGTGCGTCTGGCAGGAAGTGAAGATCTCGGTTTTTTCGCTGATCTCACTAACGGCTTTTTTCCGAGAGCAAAGCTGCTCATTTGTATTGCTGGTGCTGCTCTGCCCTCTGTGCCGCAGAGAGCAAGCCAGTATCCCGGACGCGGTGAGGACTAAATCTGTAAAAACTCCATTATCCTGGCCAAGCCTGCCTCCTGATCACCATCGGACGATACAGAGCCCGTGAAAATGGGCCAAGATCATCTCGGGGTCAGCTCCTGGATTGAAAATTGCTCTGATGGTGTGAGATGCACTTTACCCATCAAGCTAATCACACATCATCTAAACAATCCCATCACTCAAGGGGTAAAAACACAACCCATCATGTTCAAAGCTCCAAAAATGGGCTGTGCGGTGCCATGAAGTCCATCGGTCATTGATTGCTGGTGGCATTTCTATGGGTGTCTGATCTTGTGTGTGGATCCTCCTGCTACTCTCTCCAGCGCCTTGGGCCCATGCATTGGGTTGTGTACGTGTGCCTTCCTGGGTTTTTAGCACCTCTCAGCAATGGGCTCTAACAGCAGGCCTTCTCCTGGTCTCACAACCTCTCAGCAATGGCCTCTAACAGCAGGCCGTCTCCTGGTCTCGCGACCTCTCAGCAATGGGCTCTAACAGCAGGCCGTCTCCTGGTCTCGCGACCTCTCAGCAATGGGCTCTAACAGCAGGCCTTCTCCTGGTCTCACGTGACCCTGCTTTTTGGCATGAAGAAGTTGTCTGGCAATTTCCAACATCTCCGACCTTGAAAGAAAGAGGAAAGGGGGACACTTCTGCCCTCCAGAGCACTGCTGTGGATCAGGGAACTGTATCCTGGGTCACAGTGACATGACAATAGCTAATAAACGAGTTCCAAAGCCCCTTCTGACTTATGTCACTGCTCCTGCATTGGTGCAGGCTGACTGGCTTTTTTTTTTTTATATTTCTAGAAACAAAAAAATTTGGAGCTACATGGATTAGGAGGAAATGGGGTTTTTCTGTTCCTGTAACACGAAATTGGATACAAATATAGAGACCTGAATATGGAGGGAAGAGCACAGGAGCCTTTGGAGTCAAGTGTGATCACTCTGCCACTTTGGTAAAAATATCTCCAATCCTGGTAGGGGGGGTGCTGCATGGGGGGCCATACGAGTTGCAGTTTATGGTTGGTTGGCAGGATATGTTTCTGAGGGTCATGGAGGCCCCCTCAGCTCCTGCTGGAGTTCCAGATCGGGCCACGTGGCAGGTGTCAGTAGCGTTCTGCTGCTGGCCGGAGGAGCCACTCCCTCTGACATCAGCACCTGGCCAGCTGCCACTGCCTCTTGTTTTTTTCTATCGCTTCTCAGATGCGATTACTGGGAATTCCTGTTAGGCTGGGGGAGAGGGGGCGGGGTCCTCCTTACAGTGTTTACCCAGCAATCCACGCTCAGAAAACAAGCTAAGCCCAAGTGACCTGGATGTAAGCAAACACTGCACCAGCCTCCAGAGCAGACGTGTGTAGCGACTCCAGTGAGTGCCGTCACCATTCCCGGAAAGCGGCAGCCTTCCTGCCGATCGGGAGAGGCTCCAAGCCCCATCTGAAACCTTGCCTCGCCCCTGCTCCACATCCGTCCACGTGAGAACTCGCATCTCCATTCTTCAGCATCCTCCCCACGTCACTGCATTTTGTTCCCGTCTGAGCCTCAATTCACAGCAAGAGGTCACCTGACCCTAGGGGGCCCTAGGAATTCAGCAGGGGAAGCCTGCTCTAAGGAGCTTCCTTTTTTTGTGGGGGGGGTAGAGTGGACAGTCCTGACACCTCCCCGGGGTGTCCCCTGTGCAGTTTGAAGGATGGCAAGCTTTCTGAGGTGATGTCCCATGGGCAAGTGCTGCTGACAGCTGTGTTAGTGTGTCAGAGCAGGATGGATAATATGGTCTGTATTTAAAAGACAGCTGTAGGGATGAAGGTGTGACATTCATCAGGACAACCATTCATCATCTTCCTCCATGGGGTTTTGCTCACGCTGAATCGGAGCGCAGATCGCACCAGCATCTGCTCCACGCTCCAGCGTGACTTCCAGCCCACTGAAGTACGCGTTAGGAATGAGCGATCTTCCAAGTGAGGAAAACCACCCCCCCGCCCACCCCGCGCCATCCCGCTCAAGCTGGGCTTGTTGCATATTCATGCCTGTGATTCACCATAATGCGGGGGAGCACTGAGTGGGGGGGGATGTGCCATTTGTCGTTAGGCTGCCTTCGCGAACAGCCACCCCGCAGGTCGCTGACCCCCCCCGCGTCACCCTAGCTAGAGCCCATTACGCACTGTGCCATCATCACCGGCAGGCTACGCTTTCCAAGATTCCGTGTTCTCCGTTGGCATCATAAAGTGTTGTGGAAGGGAATTTGCCCCCCCCCCAAACCCTAACTCTAATCCCACCCCCCCACCCCCCACCCACCAAGGTAGAAGTACATGCATCACAATCTGTGTTCAAGGGACCCTCTGAGTTACCCAGGTGCCCACAGTGCTGTGTTCAGCTCACCGGCTGGTGCGTGTGCGTGGGGGGTCGGGGGGGGGGGGGGGGGGGGGGGGGCATGGATGCACCCTGACTCATCGCTGTGTAATCGCGGCTCTGCGACCAGGCAGCTACAGCATGTAAACTCCCCCTCCTCCTCCGCATGCCCGAGGTGTGTGCTGCATCCATCCTACGCCCTAAAGCAGTATGGGGGTGGGGGGGATGTACCATGTCCATTATACCCTGTAAAGGAGTATGGGGGGAAGGGCGTGTTCCACGTTCATTCTACTCCCTAAGCTAGTGTGTGGGGGAGGGGGTGCATACTACATACTAGTACTAATACTGCGTACTAAAGGAGCATGGGGGGGCATGTATCGCATCCATCCTACCCCCTAAAGGAGTGTGGGGGGGGGGCAGCTGAAAGAGGCATGACTCAAGTCAGGGTGACTTTAGCATCACTGCACTACGTCGGATAGGTAAACAGATTTCAATAAGAATGTGTCTGTGACATGAGTAATGTGTTAATATGTCATCTGTGCCACATAGTACTGTAACACTAAGCATGTTTACATCAAAATAATATAAGTAGTGATGCTATGAGACTTAGTTTGATCAAATCATTTTCAGGATAATGGGATCCTGTTAATTAACCGGGTTAATTAACCAGACCTCTGGATTTATTTCAGAGAGCAAAATTTCTTGTGCTGATAGATGCATGGAGGCTAAAGCAATCAGGTTAGTTTTTATTGGATGATGAATCTCCGCCCCCCTACTGTGCCCCAGCCATCACAGTCAGAGTCTCTGTGCCCCCAGCCATCACGGTCAGAGTCTCTGTGCCCCCAGCCATCACGGTCAGAGTCTCTGTGCCCCCAGCCATCACGGTCAGAGTCTCTGTGCCNGTGCCCCC